TTATTTATTTATTATATATTTATTTATTTTATTTACTTATACGCCCAAGGTGTATCCTAAAAGTAAAATTCCATGCTATGTGAAATTTTTATTTTACCGACACGAAACTGTTTACCTACCAGCAGAAATATATTTTCTATTCAACATAAAAACCATTGATTCCAATGCTCTTTTTCATCCGATGTAGCCAGGGTTAAACGCAGTGACCATATCGGCGTCAGTAGAGTCATTAACGCAGCATCAAAAATTGTTTCGAGCATAATTTCTTCTTCGTTTTCAATTAATCGCTGTTTCCCCCCCCCCCCTCCCTCTTTTAGTCCTTAGAATTTGCGGAAGAAATGAAGGCCACCAGATTGGGTTCTCGCCACTTTGCAATCTGCAAATTATAGCCCTTCTCCGTTCTTTGCAATCTGCCGATAGCCCTTTCTCTGTAGGAGAGACATCCCGTGAGCTCTGAGGGAGTCTGCCACAGATTCACTCCAGCGTCTCCTTGGTCTTCCTCTGGCTCTCCATCCAGAATATTTGATGTTATGTGCCCTCAGAGCTGATTGGTTTGGGGGCATTCGTGTGAGGTGCCCGAACCACTTGATCTTTTGTCTCTCAATGTGTGGTAGGACTGGTGTTGCTCCTACCATGTCTCTTATAATTTCATTTTTATCTTGTCTTGTCTTGTCTTGTTTACCGCTCTTCTTAGACATTTCTTTTCGCATGTGACCAGCTTCCTCTCGAAGGCTTTTGTTAGGGACCATGTCTGGCACTGATATGTGAGTGTTGGTAGAAAAATAGCATTGATGAGCTTCGCCTTGGTGCTCATGGGAATATTGGGATGTTTCAGGAGAGCGGCGAGTTGATGGCTGACTGCCATGGCTTTCTGGCATCTGGTCTCTATTTCCCGATCGAATTTGCCACTTTCTGTGAAAATGCTTCCCAGGTATTTAAATTCGCTTCTTTGTTTTAGTTGGGATTCGTTAATGTTGATATCCACTTCGTCTGGTCTCTTGCTAACTATGATGACCTCGGTCTTACTAACATTGATCCTCTTGTCATATTTCTCGCAGCTCGCGTTTAATTGTTTCATATTATGCCCCCGTAGTTGAGTTTACTTGTTCATCATTGCCAGGTCGTCTGCAAACATGAGTTCATTGAGTGTCTATTGGTCAGGATTGGCCTCCTTTGTAATCTGGTCCATGTAGATCACGAAGAGCAGAGGGAAGAGATTGCTGCCCTGCCTAACTCCGTATATTATTGAAAACCAGTCCAATGTTCCACTGGTAGTGCGAACTGCGCTTCTGCTGTTGGCATAGATAGCCCTGATGTTGTCTAGCAGTTGTCCCTTGATGTCGTTCTGCTCAAGGACCTTCCATAGCTTGTTTCTATTGACTCGATCAAAGGCTTTTTCCAGATCCACAAACACTAGATGGAGATCTTGGTCGTATTTTCATGCCCTCTCACACAGTTGTCGGAGTGCAAAAATTGCATCAGTGCACCCTCTTCCTTTTTATAAACAAACTGGGCATCACTGAGAAGATGTTCGGCTTTTGTGCGAGTGCGTTGCTCTAGGATCTTTGCATACATTTCCCCTGCATGACTGATAAGAGACATGTCTCTGTAGGTGTTGCAGTCTTTCTTGCTGCCCTTTTTCTTCCATATTGGCACAACTATCGCATATTGCCTGTCTGTTGGTACTTTTCTTTCTTTTCAAACTTTCTGGAAGATGATTGTAAACCAATGTATTCCGCTTTCCCCGCATGCAAGGATGGCTCCCGTTGTGATTCCATCTTCTCCAGCTGCCTTGTTCTTTGGACTAGTCTTCAATGCTTCTCTCACTTCACTCTACAGGATGGTAGGTTCTGAGTGCTCTGGGTAGCTGGCGATGGAGGGGCACTGTGTATTATGTGCCTGTACTCCTGGTGGGTTTAGTAGTTCTTGAAAATATTCTTCCAACCTTTTTATTATTTCCTTCACTTCATGTAGAGCTTCTCCATTGGTACAATTGATAATGGTTGTGGGTACATAGGGATCGTCTCTCACTCTCATCGCCTTCACCTTCTTGTAGAAATCTCCCCGTGATATCTTGCAGATTTGGCTTAGCTTTCCTCCATACTGGGTCCATGACTTTTCTTTTGATGTTATAACAACTTTCTTGCTGTGTCTTCTTCCAAGTCGATACTTAATGTAGTCCTCTTCGTTCTTTGACTTATATTATTATACAGTCTCTTTTTTCCTTGATAGCATCCTTAACTTCATCGTTTCACCGGGGTGTTGCCTTTCTGTGTCTTCCTTTTGTCGTCTTGGTACCACAGACTTCTTTCATAGTGTCCAGGAGAGCTATTTTGAAGTTGTCCCACGCTTACTTTACGGTTAGTATTAATAGAGTTGATAGAGTTAGCTTTTTATTTAGGGTGCATTTGATCTGCGTCTGCACCTGATCATCTCCGAGAATATGCATGTTTACTCTTTCTCTTGCTGTCTTTTATGGTTTGTGCGTATCCTTTCTTTCTTAGTGATGAACGTTGTGATGATTGGCCTGTGGTCTGTGTCCAGGCCAGTTTTGGGGATGGCTCTTAAGTCTGTGATTGTGATCCGCATTCGAGATCTCGCTAACATGAAGTCGATAAGTGATGACACCTTGATGTTGTTCCATCTGTACCAGGTGTAGATATGGCAGGTTCCGTGCTGGCAGTGGTGTTGGTGATGAATAAGTCGTGCTCTGCACACAGTTCAAATGCATGGTTGCCTTTATAATTGCATGGTGTTCTGTGGTCACTGTGTGGACCCAGGTGTTTTGTCCACGGTGTTCTTCTCTCTCCGACTCTTCCGTTGAAGTCTCCCATTGCATAAAGGTCTTCCTCGTCCAGGATGCTGCTCATTAAGTCCGAGAGTTGTTCGAAGCAGAAGACTTTTTCTTCGTCTGAGTAGGAGTCGTTGGACAGTGCATGCACCTGGATGTAGTTTGTGCTCTTTTTTCCTTCTCAATGCTGATTTTGATGCGTCTTTCAGAAATGAACTGTGTACTCATTATTTCTTTTGCTTTGTCAGGGTGTATGATGAAACCCACACCAGCTCTTTGCTCTTTTTTTTTACCCCGCTCCAAATGAAGACAAAGTTGGAGTGGATCACTTTTGTACCAGTTCCTTTCTTCCTGATGTCTGTAATAGTAATGTCCATGATGGAGATCTTGCTGTGGGTCGTGAACTCCACTATCTCAGGTTCTTTGTTTGTCAAGCTGCAAATGTTCCAGGTCCAAATCTTTTCCTTGTTTCTTGTTCGTTGTCCATTTTCCTCGCTAGGTCGTTTTCCGTTTTGATCAATCCGTTTGTGTCTCCGTTTATTTTCTTGAGCAATATTAATATCCATTGCCAGCCTGCTAAGCCAGTCGCAGTTTCACCAGAGCCCCGTTCGCCAGCAACGTTTCGGGGTGACCCGGCTCGGCCTTCACGGCTAGCGTAACGCCCCAGTGACATAAGTCACATAGTACTTCACCCAAACCCAGCTATCCCCTACTTTGTTCTGTTTCCACCTCCCACGACGTGGACCAGGAGTTGGACTTCGAGAGACCTGCTATTATACAGCGCCCATTTAGTTTTTCTCTCAGTTGCTCCCGAGGAGGCCAAAGAGGCGAAACGTTGAGCTGTGTCTATTTAACAAAAATTTTAAATTTTATATTTTTATGTTATTTTGTCTTAAATTCAAACGAGACTCCCCCTCCTACTCTGCTTTCAAAACAAGGATGATGATGATGATGATGATGATGATGATGATGATGATGATGATGATGATGATGATGATGATGATGATGATGATGATGATGATGATGAGTTTGTCTTTTGTTTTTGTTATCCCCCCTCCCCTCTCTCTCTTCTGCGAGCACAGCACAGCAGTTACCGTACCTACCAAGACTACGACATAGCAATGCTCACTCTGTCCTCCTCTGCCCGGCTCAACAGTAGGACCTGGATTGTGTTTCCTGGATATTATCTGGACACTTTGCCCATCAAACGATGTACTGTATCGGGCTGGGGACGCACGCGAACTGGTGAGTTTTTTGTTGGTTGTTGTTGTTGTTGTTGTTGTTGTTGTTGTTGTTGTTGTTGTTGTTTTAGGCGTTGTTGTTGTTATTGTTGTTGTTGTTGGTAGTGGTTGGTAGTGGTTGTTGGTGGTGTTAATAGTGGTTGTGGTGGTGGTGGTGGTGGTGGTGGTGGTTGTTGTTGTTACTGTGTTGTTGTCGTTGTTGTTGTTGTTGTTGTTGTTGCTATGTGTGTGTGTGGTAGCCTATCCGTTCGAAATGTTTGGAGCCCTGAAGAGCGTGCTCTTCGCCAGGGCCACCGCCTCCCTTGAGAGGCGCTGCCTCTCTGGAGGCGGTGTCGGCTTGTGTAAAGTTACCTGGCGGTCCGATGAGTCAGGTCTGTTTGTATGCCTTCTTTGGATATGATGTGTCCGAGGAATTTGATGGATTTGACGCAAAAATATCATTACTTTTCGTTTAGGGTGACTCCTGCTTGCTTCATTGTTTGAAGTACCATAATATGAAGTCTGCTGTCGTGTTCTTCCTTATCCTTTCCTCCGATCAAGACATCGTCAATGTCGTCCACCACTCTAGGAATGCCCGACAAGATTTGGGTCAATTCCCTTTGAAAGACCTCTGGTCCTGAGCTGATTCCGAAAGGCAATCTCTTGAAGCAGTACCTCCTGTAGGGCGTTATAAAAGTTATTAACTTTTGTGACTCTCTAGTTGTATTTTAAAAAATCCACCAGTGCAGTCTAGCTTACTGAAATATTCACATCCCGAGAGTTGAGCTAGCAGCTTGATCTGTTGTAGATAAAGGGACATTTTCTCTTTGCACACTTTCATTCAGCTCTGTAAAGTGTCCTGTCCTCTCTTTATGCATGTGTAGCATTTCGCATCTTTGGCAGGACATCCTTGTTTTTTGTGTGGACCTCTTCCACATCTGTGACATTTTTTTCCTATGTTTTCTTTTCTTTGGAATTTTTGCTTGCGGCCCTGCCCTTGACCTTGACTTTGACCTTGCCTGTAAAACTTTTCTTTCTGTAACCTGTTTACGTCTGAAACTTCGTCTCCAGTACTTTGGCTCATAGTATGCGACTGTGTCCTAGATGACTCATATGCTCTTCCTATATCTAGACACCTTGTTAGGGTGAGATTTTTGTCTTCCAAAAACTTTTCTCTTAAGCTTTCTTCTCTCACTCCTATCACCACAGGATCTCTTATTAAGCGGTCTTGCAACTGTGTGTCTCCGAAGTTGCAGGACTTGGCTAGCTGACGAAGTTGTGGAATGTAGGCCTCTCTTGTTTCATCTTGTTTTTGTTTCTTCGTGTGAAACTCGTAAGACTCGTAAGCTTCGTGTGTCTCTCCTATGCAAAAGTCATCAAAAGCTTGTAAGACGCTTTGGAGATTTTTCTTATCTGCCTCGTCCTCGAAGTGAAAACCTTCGAAAATGTCTACAGCATCTTCTCCAATCGTCGCTAGAAACACTGCACATTGGAAATCTTCTTCTTCCTTGCTTAATCTCGTGGCGATCGCATAATTATCTAAGTTTCCCTTAAACGTTTTCCACCCTTGTGCTAGTTTTGTGCCATCTGTTACATTTAATTTTGATGGAAGGGGTATGTTGGCTGTGCATTGCTTCTGCTGGTTTTCCTTGTTATGCTGTGCCATTTATGTTCACTAGTTGTGGAACTAGAAATCCAGAATAGATCTACTCAAATAAAAGACTCTAAGTCTAGAAATCTAGAATCTCCAGACCCACTTAAACCAGATCAGTCAACAAACAAGTCACAGTTTTAACTCGACAGTGTTCAACACTAGATTCGAATCTAGATCCAGATAGAATCTCCACCAGAATCTCTAGACTCTACCTAAACCAGTTCAGTTAAAAAACAAGTCCATCTAGATTCTAGTTGATCCAGGCCTATTACCACATTTAGATAATCTACTTCCATCAAGATCTCTAGTTTCTAGCTCTAGATCCAGAATCGATATATTATAGTCCTTCCCGTTTTCAAACAGTTAACTGCCTAAACCTAAACTCGTTCTTGTCTAGTCTAAACCTCTACTCTCACAAAGCACTGTTCTTGACAGAAAAACTCGAGTACGTCATTGAATTTGGGAGTTTTCTTGAAGTTGTTGGCTGTTCAGTGGCCACTTCTGACACCATGTAAAGTTACCTGGCGGTCCGATGAGTCGGGTCTGTCAGGGGGCCCCCGTCCAGGATAGATGTTGCCTTGTCCTGTCTACTGTCTGCGACTAAATCTCCAAGTGAGTGTCTCTCAGACGACGTCGGCCCATTTACCGCTGCTCAATGTGACGTTATCCAAGGGCGTGCTGCTCCCTTAACTATCTTGTCCCCGTAGTAAAGATAAGAGTCATGTCCATTGACATCACACACCCCTCACAAGCAATTTCAATAACAATTCAAAACGCTAAACGCATCAACCAGAAACTGAAACTATAACTCTGGAACCTTATATACACTGTACACAGCAGACACTTCGCCTACAAGTCGAGTCTCTGCGGAGGCCTGACATGGCGTCCAAACTTCGTTATGAAGTCAGACGTAGTGGAAGTGTCATGAAGGGTTGTGTCTGACTCTGGTGACTCTGCTGGTAATTCTGGCAGGTGGTGAGGCAACATAGAAGACTCTCTGGGGATCACGAGATGGTTACTGTCTTGGCCTTCCGTCCTCAGCCGGATCTGGTGATAATTAGGAACCTTCAAGCCGTTGTCCGTTTTCAAGAGGTATGATCTGTCTCTCAATCTGTCTACAACCGTAGCCTTGGCATCCCTTGGGGTTTTAATCCAAACTGGCTGTCCTTTTGACAAGTCTGACATGGACTTGGCACAATGTCTTCAATCATAATCCTGTTTCTGCCTCTACCTGAAAGCTGGAAAAATCTTCCTGAACACCTGCCTTTCTCCCCCATTTGGGACCAATTTTTCTGGAAAAATTGGCACTCTTGTCCTGATTTGGCTACCCTATAGAAGTTCTGCTGGGCTCTGTCCTTGCTGTAAAGGTGTGGAGCGGCAGTTCATGAGAGCCAAGTAAGGATCATCAGACTTACTCAGTAAAATTTTAATAGTTTTGGCGGCTCTTTCAGCTTCTCCATTACTCTGAGGATGTAGAGGGCTGCTTCTCAGGTGCGTTAAACCATAGTACCGTGAGAACTTTTGAAACTCGTGTGCAACGAACTGGAATCCATTGTCTGAGACGACGATTTCAGGAACTCCATATCTAGTAATAATTGACTTGCAATGTTCTACGACATTTGAAGCAGTAGGCTCTCTTAGATGAGCTATCTCAATCCACCTCGAGTAATAGTCTACTATCAGGAGATATGTATGACCTTTCCACACAAAAAGATCCATACCCACCTTTTGCCACGGGTAGTCTGGAGTGACTGTCGGCTTTAATGGTTCTGGGCTGACCTTTCTTTCTTTTTCACATTCTGGACAGTTTGTAACCAACGTTTCGATTCGCTGTGACAGTCCAGGCCTGCGCTCTGCACTTGACTATCCCCTGGTGTCCTTTGATAAGACATTTCAAAATATCCTGTCTTAATATTGTGGGAATAACAAGTCGGAACTGGTATAGTAGCAAACCTTGTTCCACAGCTAGCTCGCCTCTTGACGTCCAATATGGCTTCATAACTGGATCGACTTTGGTTGTTGCAGGCCATGAGGACTGACAGTATTCTTTTAATTTCTTACAGATTTTGTCTGCATCTTTCTGCTCTCTAATTTCATGCAATTTTTGTCATTTGCTGGGAATCCTTCCAGGACAGATGCTCTCTAATTTCATGCAATTTTTGTCATTTGCTGGGAATCCTTCCAGGACAGATCTGACGTGTAGCTCACACTCTTCTTCCATTTGATGATCTTCTTTACTTGGCACTCCCACCGAAGGTCTTGACAATGCATCGGCTGTTACCAAATTCTTTTTCTGGTACATGGGCGATGTTGTATGAAAACCTCATCATTCTCATCCTAAATCTCTGAATGCGATGGGTCAATTCATCCAGATGCTTTGTTTTCATCGGTTGAAGAAGTGGTTGATTTGTGATCTGTTTCAATCAGGAATTTTGGCAATCCCACCAAAAAATCTGCAAATCTCTCGTAGCATCAAGTAACTGTTGAGGCTTCCTTTTCAACTTGTGCGTATCTTCGCTCTGTATCTGTAAGAGACTGGTTTCCAATCTGTGCCTTCCTTTTGCATCAGTACACCACCCATGCCATAGGGTGATGCATCAGCTGATATCTTTGAGGACTATAGTGAATGAGTAAAGGTGCTGTACTCATCTGTTTCTTTAACTTCTGGAATGCTTGTTCCTGCGGATCATCTCAGGTCTATATTGTTTCCTTTCTTAGTAAACACCTCAACGGCTTTGTCATTTCTCCCAGACCGGGGCCAAACTTTCCTATGTGATTCTACATGCCTAGGAAACTTCGGATATCGGCTATCTTTTCTGGTCTCGGGAACTTTGTGATGGTTTCTACCTTTTCTGGGCCTATTTGTTGTTGCTGTTGTTGTTGTTGTTGTGGTGGTGGTTGTGGTGGTGTTGTTTTTTCTTTGGCAATGCATGTAGTATGTACTTGATTTGGCTCTTGTTTTTGTTCTTGTTCTCGTTTTCCTTCTCGCTCGCGTCCATGTTCTTGTTCTTGCTCTAGGCTCAACACCTTGCATGTCAATTCAAAAACATATTTGTGTGTGAATTTGACTGAAAATCGTTGGCTAAAGGCACAGAAGTGTCAATTTGCAGTTACTTTTTCAAGGACACTTAATTAAGTTTTGGAAGTCACTATACTTTGTTAGCCATTTTCTCGCTAATTTTACACGTGATGCCACAAGACCCCCTACTTCTTTTCTTTTCTTTTTTTTTTTTTTTTTTGTTAAATGTTTTACTGCATAATGTCATATGAGCGCGCTGGACACATTACGTCATTACGTATTTTTTGTATCTAGGAAATTTTGAATTTTGCCCCGGGTGGCGGACGAAGCCTACCCTTATCGATTTTAGACCACCAAGGGATCTTTAACTTGTACTCGGGACCTCTGGGATTTTTCGCCCTTGCCCGAGAAGGCAAGGTGTAGATCTTTCCTACAATAAGATAAGGGGTGTGGCTGAAAGACAGCAGTAAGAAGGAGCCAAGGGGTAGCACTAGAAAGGCTGGAGAAAGAGTCAGGTGCCCAGAGAGAGGGGCAAATGAAGTGACGGGGTGGGGGCAGAAAGTGGAGACGAAAGCAGACGACAGAACATTGCTAGAGAGCAGGAAAGGGGGGTGAAAAGAGACAATAATAATTTTAGAAAAGGAAATATTTTCCGTCGCAACCAGAACTCGAACTCGGGACCTTTGAATGAGAGGCGAACACCTTAACCTCTAGTCTTTAGGTCACGAGAGACCCCCTGACCCCTATTTCATTCAATCGGAAATATTTCGACTTCAGCGCATTTTTCTTCTTTTCTTTCAACAAAAGCAAAGATAATTAAATGTCAGTTATATCATACTACGGCTGAAAAATTGGCGAGCACCAGATACCACTGTGTCATCTCTCTCTCTCTCTCTCTCTCTCTCTCTCTCTCTCTCTCTCTCTCTCTCTCTCTCTCTCTCTCTCTCTCTCTCTCTGGCAATCTCTCCCTCTCTCTCGCTCTCTCTCTCTTTCATTCACACATACACACACACATACACACACATACATTCTCACACAGGCACAGACACAGACACAGACACACACACATACACAGGAACGCACACACAAATATAACCAAATGCACACACACAAACACACACACACACATACATACACAGGAACACATGCACACAAACAAATACACACAGATGCACACAAATACACATACACAACATACACACACTAAGAGGAGATAGAGAGAGAGACAGGGAGAGATAGAGAGAGATAGAGAGAGATAAAAAGAGAGAAGGAGAGAGAGAATGAGAGAGAGAGAGAGAGAGAGAGAGAGAGAGAGAGAGAGAGAGAGAGGCGGATGAATAGTTATAGACACCAATTATCTATTTGTTTGTTATTTCTTTTTGTTTGCTTGTTTGTTTGTTCGTTTGTTCGTTTTTTTAAATAGTTTTTTTTTGTATTTCTGTTGTTGTTGTTGTTGTTGTTGTTGTTGTTTCTAAA